ATCCACAATTGCATTGAAGTCACCCATTATGCAGATACTATCATATTCTATCTGGCTGATAATATTATGCAGTTTCTTATAGAAACGTTTTTGCCCTTCATTCGGGGCATAGATTCCAACAAGAAGAATTTTAGTTTTATTCAAAATTACTTCCACTATTAAAATTCTGCCATCTTCATCCTTATAAATTTGCTTAGCCACAATTTCTTGTTTGATATATACTACCACTCCTCCTTTCTTATATTGCGAAAGTGTCGCAAACATATTCCCCAATTTAGGACAATTTAATAAATATTGATGTTGTTTTTTTATGTGGACTTCTTGTAACATAATTATATCTAAATTCATCTTATTGAGCCTGTTTAGAAACTTCTTCCTGCTTGATCACAGGAGGGCACTAGCCCGCCCGTTTCATCCATGGCAGCCCTCCCAACTGACAGGGAAAGACCGGCCATAGCAATATTGTTCGTCACTAAGGTGCTGACAGCTGAAGACAAAATTATTACCAAGCAGATGAAACTGGGTGAGATCTGATCTTCTCTTTAAGACTTTAAATATATTTTCCTGCAAAAGCTGCCCAAAGTATTTTTCCCCCTGTGAGGAGAGAGGGAAGGGAACATCTACCCCACCCTCGAAGAACAGTGGTGACTGACTACCTAGGGGAAACAAAGCAATTATAAGAACAATTTTAATCTAATTGGATGCATATACTTTTGAAATTTGGAGACTAAAAGTTTTCCTATTTTTACTGGAGATGTTGGTTTTTATCTAAAAAGAAAAGAAATAAACCTTGAAAAACTATTATAAAAACTTTGGACTTAAAAAGTTTTAAACGGCATCGGTGACATCTTGTGGCGAAGTATGGTATTACAACTTGTTATTGACTAAAAGAGAATTGGCTTGAAGCCCAGACTCTAGAAAAAACTCTTTTGACCTTGACAGATACCACCTGTAAAAAACTCAGCTGTAAAGAAGGAACTTTAGGGCGGCATATCTGGCCTGTTTGAACTACGAAGGTAAACCTTTACTAATTTTCAGAGTTATATGTGGGGAATTGCTTTCCTATTTCTTTACATGAGAAGTATCTGTTATTAAACAAGATGATGGAATACTTTGGACTATAAATTGTTATTTGGCAAACAATTTCCACTATAAAGACTACCTACAACACGTGAAATAGATGTCCCATACCTAGTTATAAAAAACAAAAAACTATTTTAATGTTTGATTTTAAAGACTTCAGCTTAACACATTATCAAGAGAATATGGATGAAGTTCAGGAAAAAATCCTTTCTGTGTTGAAATCAATACATGAAACCATTATTTCAGCTTGTAACAAAATAAGATGCAAAATAAAGGAACAAGATGCCTGCTTAGTTATACAAACCCAGATCTTGACTACAACCAAAGAACTAACAATGCAAAAAGTAACAGGAGAAGTGGAACAACTAAATACTAAGATAGAGGACCCAATTGACCAAAAAACTGTAACCAAATGGTCTTTCTTATTCCAAGTAATACATATAATAATAATAGAGGGAGAACTGTTTGAGGATTCAAATGTACTGATATGAAAGGTTAGTTGGCAAAGGAAAAAGGCCAGAGTAAGGCTGAAAGAAACTAGGGTTTTGATCTATTAGAGGGGATTTTATATGACTGATTAGAGGGGTAAATATCATGAAAAATAGATAATTTTTAGAAAATAAAGTAACATTATAATTGAATAGGTAAGATGTGTAATAAGACTGACTTTTGGTTTAATATGGTGGAAAATAGATAACTTTTAGAAAATAGAATAAGATTATATGCAAATATATAAGATGTGTATTTAGAATATTAGATTTTGTTATGAAAAGGGAAAAATGTAGAAGTTGAGATGCGGGAAACTCTGGTCACCTAAAGCTTGGAAATTATAAATACCAAATGTTAATTTGAATATTGATGGGAAATTAAAGCCTGGGAAAAAAGCAATAGCAGGACATTGATTGTACAGTATATAAGGGTTGAATGCAAACACAATTAAGATATGTATAAGCTAAAACTTATTGATAAATGTAACAAAGATGTTTTTACTTAGTTGATAATAATAAGAACTATATTAGCTTAATATAAGATAGTAGATATTAAGGGAAAAAGAGAGGAAATATCTGATGTTGTAACTTGAGATTTGTGCTAAAGATTTATGTATGTTATTAAATTATTGATCACCCAGTCACCATGTTTACACCATGTTTAATTGTAAAATTAGAAAACTAATAAAATATTAGAAAAAGAAAGAAAGAAGAGCAATGGAGAGAGCACACAACCCTGAGCTAATTGCCCGTGTACTAGATGTTTTTTTCTCTAGCTTTACTTGTTGTAAAAAAAATTGCACAGTGGAAACAAGATTTCTGAGACAAATAAAAACTCTCTGGTTTTATTCATGTTCATTTGTCTGGATTTTCAGAATATATGTCATGTCAACTGAATATATTTGAATGTCTTATCAGTGTTATTAAAATTGGGCAGAACCAAGCAAAAAAACCCCAACAACTCTATATTCTATTATCACACAGACACATTTAGGATTTATATGAATCAGCAAATAAAGTAAGTAAAAAATACTTCTTTTTCTTTTTTGCCCCATTGTACAAAGTTGTGTTCCTTGAATTGCCGGGTTATGGTGGTTATTTTCTAAACTTATATTAACAAATATTTCGTGAATGAAGTCTGCTTGATCACAGAAAGTATGATGCTCACATGTTCAGCTCCCATATGGAAATGCCAAAAGAAGATTATGCCTTGGATAGTCTATCCTGTCCTGAATGTTGGATCACAGATGGAACATCAACCTGAGGTTGTGTAACCCATTTTGCTTTTATTCCCATATGCTCCCATTTTAGTCCAGTATCATGAACAATGCTGGCACCTCTGAAGATACCAAGCCTTTGCCAAATTTCCAACAGATGGGATCCTTGAATTATTCATCCCCAAGTCCAGGATCCCTGACAAAGCATGTCTGCGCAATTTGTGGAGACAGATCATCAGGTATTCACACCTTGCATGTCAAGGGGACTATCTGGGAAGTATTATATAACTATTATCCTATAATATTGCCTCAGGATTTTTCCTGTTGTATAACGCTTTCAGTTGGTTATGCAGAAAGTATCTCTAGTGTTTCTTCATTCAGAGTAAAATCATTCTTAATGCATAGATTTTGAGAACATTGGACTATTGTTTTATTTGAGGCCAATTTTTTTTAGGAGCTAATGAGGGGTGTTAACTGCTCTCGCAAACTAACAGTGCTAAAACATCCATGCCTCAAATAATTTCACTCCTTTCCCTGGTTGGCTGCTATTCTGATCACATCTGGGTCCTTCCCAGTATTCTGTATCATAGTCTGGTCTCTTCCCTATACAGTTTTCTTAGTCCTCTCAGGCATATTGAGTGGTTCTGTATTTAACCATTTCTGAAACAAAATGCCCTGATAGTTTGAATGTCCAAATTCAAAACTACAGAAAACATTTAAACTTGCTTATATATCCCAATTGGAATGTGCTGATGTGTGTTGCTGTATTGCTAGGGAAGCACTATGGGGTATACAGTTGTGAAGGCTGCAAAGGATTCTTTAAGCGGACAGTAAGAAAGGACCTTGTCTACATATGTCGAGATAATAAAGACTGTCTGATCGACAAGCGTCAGCGAAACCGTTGCCAGTATTGCCGTTATCAGAAATGTCTAGCAACAGGCATGAAAAGAGAAGGTATGTTACTAAGGTATACACATATATGAACATATATATTAAGATATGCATACACAAACCATCTTTAATTATATCAGAAGAGCCATTCCCCATCATCCAGTCAGAGCTGAAGAAGCTTCTTGGATGAAAACATCTTCAAAGAAAAGCAAGAAGGTCCAGTTGCCTTGTGGAAAAAAAAAGCACCTTTGGGACAACCATGACCTGGATGACTGAGAATCTCCATAGACATCTCTCATAGCCCCATTGTTTTGTTCTTTGTCTGGAATAGATGAATCAATCCTCCATCAGCTGAAAGTCAGCCACTGCTAGGTAGTTTACTCTATACGTTTTATGTTCTGCCATTTTGAAGAATATAGGAAATGTGTTCTGAAGTCTCACTGTGGCAGTCACAGCAAGTAAAAGAAAAGATGCAATTTGTAAATTAAAACTATCCATTTTATACTTTGCCAACTATAAAATTGATGTGGGCTAGAGAGAGAGAGAGAGAGAGAGAGAGACTATAGGTGTATAGTACAGGCCACCTAACCAAGCAGAGGAAGTAGATGAATGTTTTGCTGATCAGTTAAATGAGGTGTGCAGAAAACATACCATTGTGGGGGACTTTAACTATCCTGATATCAAGTAGGCAACACCCTGCAGCAAGCAGAGCCTATTCCCAAAAATTAAGAAGGAGATTAAAAATTCAATGTGTGGAAATCCTAAAGAAAAAAGCAATATTTGTCCAGAATTCTATAACCACTGGGAATAATGGTAGCTCACAAACCAACATCAAACTCCAACAAGAGCTGTACAGAACCAAGGACAAATACTAAAGGAAGAGAACAGCAAGGTAATCCACAAGTTCAAATGCAACAACTGTGACCAAATCTATATTGGACAAACAGGACAATTAAAAACAAGAATCCACGAGCACTGACTAGCAGCCAACCAGCATGACCACAAATCCTTGATCTCAATCCATAGCGACACCAAGCACCATCACTGGGACAGAACAAAAATCATTGGCCATGCCACCACATACCACGCAGGCAAATTTGTCAATGCCTGATATTCAACGAATAGGTCAATCAACAAACATATCAATCTGGAACCAACCTATGAGCTCGTAAGAAGCCAGATTAATCGGGCAACCAACTCATCACTGCACCAATCACCTCCTCACTTGGTGACCTTCACATGACGTGACCACCCAGTCACATGACCAACCAACCACGTCACCACTTAAGATAGATAAAAGTGGAGGGAAACTGAGACTGAAGATGTTGCCTAGCCTAGTGACAAAACGTTTGGAAGCTAAACAGCAAGCTTGGAGAACAAACCACCACCAACAAAAAGGAAAGTATAAAAAAAATGGAAAGGTGCTCATAACAAGAGCAGAACTAGAATACAGCCTACTTCTTGGTAAATTAGAAAAATATGGTATAGATAGCATCACCTCCAGATGGATTTGTAACTGTTAAGAAACCATACTCAATATGTAGCGCTCAACAGAACTACACCCACATGGAGGGAAGGATACAGTGACCTCAAGGTTCTGTCTTGGGCCTAGTACTCTTCAACATTTTCATAAATGATCTAGATGAGGGAATAGTGTCAAATTTGCAGATGACACCAAGCTGGGGGGGGGATAGCTAAAACTTTGGAATCTAGACTCAATATTCAGAAGAATCTTGATAGACTTGGATATTGGGGCCTATCTAACAAAATGCAATTCAATGTTAAGAAAAGTAAGGTCCTGCATTTAGACAGGAAAAAAATCCCTCATAGTCATTGCTGAGGAAAGTCTTATTAGAATAACTGCCTGAATATAGAAAAGAATCTAAGGAAGAAGAAAACCCTATTCTGGACTTAGGCACGCTCCTGATGGGTGGGGGTCAGAGATAATGTAAGAAAGTCACAGTATGAAGGTGTTTATATGAAGGTCACAGTATATTTCAGGAGTAGAGAGTGACAAAATTCTTGTGGACCTTTTCTTTGTGCACTAAGCGGTTCAAGAAGAGAGGCAGAGAAGCAGAGAGCGGAGTGAGAATGAAGTAGAATCTACAAGCAGCAATGGTGGAAGTCTTGAAGATATGCCTGTGGAAAGAATTTTAGAAGCTGAAATGGCAGTTGAACCAAAGTCTGAGTCATATGGTGATGTGAGTGCAGAAACCTCGGTAAGTGAGATTGATATCAGTGCTGTTCCTTAGGCTATGAGTAACTGTGAGTTATGTGAGTAACAATGAATACCCTGAATAAAACACATGAATTAATGCACATTCAGAAAAATGACCTCTTTGGCAAGTGCACTATAGGTTCATAATCTTATGACATAAACAAGCAGAAGCTCGAAAGTTAGGACAATCTGTCCATTTTGGTTTCTCTGTCTAACAAAGTACTAATCTGAAGTTGCTTGTTCCGCCTCTTTTTCCAGACACACACCTGGGGAACATAAGTTGTTTGGATTTCCTCCTGATACGTTGTATTTAGCTAAGTGTTAAGCTTCTAGAGGGTATTTTAAATAACAGTTTTTTGCTTTACTAACATTGCTTGGGTTGAATTCCCAATCTCAGGAATACTCGATTGTACATGCAAATGCTTTCTCATTCGTTCGTTCGTTCGTTCGTTCGTTCGTTCGTTCGTTCGTTCGTTCGTTTGTTTATTTATTTATTTATTTATTTATTTATTTATTTATTTCCTGACTTTATTATTTTTATAAATAGCTCAAAGAGACTTCATCCTCCTGTTTTCCTTCATCCTCCTTTTTTCCCACAAAAACAACCCTGTGAGGGAGATTGGGCTTCAAACATAAAACCTTAACCTCTGCTCCTCCCTCCCCTCACCAAAGCCAGAAAGCAGAAGAAATTAAGAATTCGACTTAATTCTGCTAAAGAATTTTGTGAGCAAGCACAGGCAAAAGGGCAGTAGTTAAATTCACAGAGGTCATTGCCAATCCTGCATAATGGGAGAGTTCCTTACTTGGAACCAAACTGTCTTGGGCTGATCTCCTAGGATGAAATGGAAGAAAGACACCCCAAATTCACTACCTGGGCTGCTGTTTCTACAGTGTGCAGGTCTGGCATTTGGGCAGTGTTTCAGTTTCTTAAAATGCACTTTTGCTTGATATGGGTATGGCTTTGTTGATTGGCCACCAGTATCATGTCATAGTCTGACCTTTAGACTTTTCAGTTGACAGAAAGACAATTTTTTTCTTTTTTCTTTTCTTTCCCTGGTTGAGGAAATAGGGGGAAAAGATGGCAGAAAATACCAATTGAAAACAAGAATTACTTCATCACCCTGGACTGTCCTTGGGTAGATAGACAATATGGAAAGACTCCTACAATAGATTTAATAGGAAGACTGTTAGTTTCTAAAATTAGGTTTATAGAAAAAAGCCCAAAAAAGTGTTTTTGCTGGCTTATGTACTTGTTTCTCCCTTAGACCAATGATCCTGTCACCAATATTTGCCATGCAGCTGATAAACAGCTTTTCACATTGGTTGAATGGGCCAAGCGGATTCCACACTTCTCAGACCTGACATTAGAAGATCAAGTTATCCTCCTCCGAGCAGGTAATGGCTTGTAGGCTTCCTCTTTGCCATTGCTCTCCTTGAATGATCAACACAGCACCAGATACTGGAAAACTTGCATGATGTAGCTGTAGGTTGTAGCTGATGAAATGACTTAGATGAGGGAATAGAAGGGGAACTCATCAAATTTGACACTAAACTGGCAGGAATAGCCAACACCACAGAAGACAAACTCAGGATCCAAAAAGATCTTGACAAACTTGAACAATGGGCCCTATCCAACAAAATGAATTTTAATGGGGAGAAAAGCAAAGCTTTACATTTAGGCAGGAAAAATCAAAGGTACAAGTACAGATTAGGCGAGACCTGGCTTAAAAACAGTAACTGTGAGAGAAACCTTGGAGTCCTAGTGGACGATCACTTGAATGTGAGCCAGCAGTGTGCAACAGCAGCCAAAAAAGCTAATACAATCCTGGATTGTATAAACAGAGGCATAGAATCAAGATCACGTGAAGTATTAGTACCGCTTTATAAAACCCTAGTAAGACTACACCTGGAATACTGCAACCAATTTTGGTCACCGTATCACAACAAAGATGTTGAGACTTAGAAAACGTTCAGAGAAGAGCAGCCAAGATGATCAAAGGCCTGGAGACTAAAACAGATGAAGAATGGCTGCAGGACTTGGGTTTGGCTAGTCCACGGGTTGGCAACCTGTGCCTCTGGAGCTGCATGCGGCTCTTTGAGCCATCTCCTGAAGCTCCGGAGCCTCCTCCGCATTTGCAGAGAGAGAGACAGAGACAGAGAATCACTTGCACTTCCCTTCTCTCTCTCATGCAGACTTGCCCCCTTGCAGGGCTCCTAATTGGCCCTGCCCCCAGGTGCCCTGCCCCCTGGGAGAAGGGGCCAGGAAGTCCCTTTCCTGGGTTGGCCCCGTCCGAGGCGCATGTGGCCGGGGAGCCGTGCAGGGAAGCCCCGGGATCCCCACTGGGAGCGGCCCACCAGAGCTTCCACTGAGCGGGCCAGCCCTCCCGCAAGCTACGGCCCCGAGGGAGAGCAGCCCCTGCAATCCCCAGCTTGCACGACTGTTGGCCCCGCTGGCCGGGAAGGTGCACCAGAGTCCCGGCTGCCGGGAAGGAAGAGGGAGATGCAGCAATGGCAGGAGAGGAGAGCCTCCTCCTGGGGCCTGGCGCCGGTGGCCCGCAGCGGCCCGCCGCAGCTACATCGAATGGGCAGAGGGCGAGCCCCAGCAGCACAGAGTCCTGGCTGGGGTGGCGGCGGCTTCCTCACCCTCACCCTCCTCCCTTTCTTCCTCCTGCTGCCCCCCGGATGGCTTGGGCGGGTGCTGGGGCAAGAGGGGCATCTGGGGGTGAGCAGCTGGGCCGGCAGAGGGGCTGGCAGGGGCCAGTCAGGTAAAGCAGCTGCACCATCAGGGCCAGCGGGTCGCGCGGCACCAGCCCCCGCTGCGGCTACATCGGATGGGCGGAGGGCGAGCCCGGGCAGCGTGAAATCTCAGCTGGGGTGGTGGCGGCTTCCTTGCCCTCCTCCTCCCTTCCTCCTGTTGCCCCCTGAGTGGCTGTCCCAGCTTGGGTGGGGCCGGCAGGGGCATCGCTCCCTGGGCCGCTCCCTGGGCACCCGAGCCAGCCACGTGTCTCCCCGGGCCAGTCCGTGGTGCCCCGGCGCCTTTCAGCACCTTCTGCTGCCTCCTGCCTCCCTCCCCTCCCCGCCCCTTTGGCGCCATCTGCCTTTCGTTCTCTCCTCATGTGGAGAGAGAGAGGGAGAGGAAAGAGAGAAAGAGAGACAGAGAGAGAGAAAGAGAGAGAGGGAGAGGAAAGAGAAAGAGAGAATGAGAAAGAGAGAGGGAGAGGAAAGAGAAAGAGGAAAGAAAAAAAAGGAGAGGAAAGAGGAAGAGAGAGAAAGAGGAAAGAAAGGGAGAGGAAAGAAAGGGAGAGAGGAAAGAGGAAAGAGGGAGAGGAAAGAGAAAGAGAGGAAAGAGAAAGGGAGAGGAAAGAGAAAGGAAAGAAAAAAGGGAGAGGAAAGAGAGAAAGAGGGAGAGAGAGGAAAGAGAGAGAGAAAGAGGAAAGAGAAAGAGAGGGAGAGGGAGCTGAAAGAAAGAGAGAAAGAGAGGGAGAGAGAGAGGAAAGAGAGAAAGAGAGGGGGCAAGCAAAAGCCCCCCCTCTTTCTCTCTCTCTCACACACACACACACTGAGTGGGGGAAGAGGACTGGCAGACCGAGGGCAGAAAGAAGGAGGGAGGGAGGGAGGGAGAGAGAGAGACCCTTTTGACATCTAAAATGAAGATAACACTGCATATATCCTTATATATATATATATATATATATATATATATATATGAGAATTAATTATACTAAAAATCCGACTCTTGGGTGTAGTCATAATAAAAAGCAAATAAAAGCCGAGCACCAAGAGGAATAAAATTTTTAAAAAGATTTAATGAGCCAAGCTTTCGTCAGAACCATCTGACATCATCAGGGCGTTAAAACAGCAGTCTGGAAGAAACCCTTATATAGCGTTGATCGCCTGCATCCGGCTCCTGATACGTGTTAATGGACCCAGCTGTTCCTGCCGTGTTACGGGCAAGGTGCCTACTCCAATGTAAGAGGTCCCTTTAAGTGTTTTACGCCTTCTATCGCAGCTATTCTCTACCCCCGCCCTCCAGGTGGGGGGAACCCTTTCTATCCTCCCCGTCCGGAGCGCACAAGTTCCTTTCCTCTCCCTTTCCCTTATCTCACCACTCAGATGTAATGTTTCTATCCCCCCCACGGGGGTTATCACTGACCCTCCATCCTCCCCCCCTCTCTCTCCCCCACTCTCTCCCTCCCCCCCTCTCTTCCCCCCTCCTCCCTCCCTCTCCATCCATTCGCCTCTCTCTCCCTCCTCCTGATCCCCTCTCTCAACGGGTCGTATTTGCATAGCATCCAAACAACCTGACCCCCGTGCCTCGATGCTCTCACCCCTCTGTCGGTATCCGCCTGGTCCGGCCTTACNTCAGGATGGAAGAAGACGAGGTGATGGTATCATTCGATGTCACCTCGCTCTTTACTTCCATACCACGGGATCTCGCTATGGAGGTCCTTGGAGAACAACTGAGGGCACGTGAAGGCACCGGTTGCCGTGACTCACTGCGGGTGGAAGACCTGTTGAGACTCATTGAATTCTGTTTAACCACATACTTTACCTTTCAAGGGGTTGTCTATGAGCAAATAAAGGGCACCCCTATGGGCTCCCCCATATCCAGCGTAATAGCTGAAGCGGTTCTCCAGCAGTTGGAGCGTGTAGCTATGTCCCAGTACCGACCCAAATTTTGGGCTAGGTACGTTGACACGTTTGTGGTCGTCAAACGGAATGAAAAGACCAACTTTATGGATATCCTCAATTCGGTTTATACTGATATTGAGTTCACGGTGGAGGATGAGGTCCGGGGCGCGATAGCATTTCTGGATGTTTTTGTGCAACGACTACCAGATGGATCGGTTAGTACTAAGGTCTATCACAAGCCCACGCACACGGACTGCATCCTCCACTATGATAGTAACCACCCTGTAGTCCATAAGATTGGGTGTGTCAAGACGCTGTTTGGGCATGTCCGGTCACACTGCAGCACAGTGGAGTCTAGAATGGAGGAGACCAGACACTTGCACCGTATCTTCCGGTTGAACGGATACCCCTTAAACTTTGTGAGACGTCATTGCAAGGTAGCTGGACCCTGACGTAATTGCGAGGAGCAACCCCAGGAGCAGCCCGTGCGTGTCACCCTCCCGTATATTCACAATGTCTCCGGGGCTACAGCCAGACTCCTTGCCCCGTATAACATCAAGGTGGCCCATAGACCTGACCTGACCCTGCGAGCCAAAATCATGCACCCCAAGGACCAACTCCCCATCGCTGAAAGGTCAGCGGTAGTATACCGAATTAAGTGCATGGACTGCCCACGCAATTATGTGGGGGAGATGTCCAAACGGTTGGGGACCCGCATACACGAACATAAGCTGGTGGTAAAAAGGGGGGAGCAGCGCTCGCAGGTCTGGTCACATATGGCTGAAAGTGGCCACTGCTTTGACTTTGACCTTGACCAGGTCCAGGTCTTAGCAAAGGACAGCACTAAAGGGGGCCGGCTGTTGAAGGAGGCATGGTTTACGGAGGAGGAATCCATTAACCGTCACATGGAGATGTGCCCGGCGCAGCAGATGCTTAGAGCGTGGTGCATGGACTATCCCCTGGATCATCGGAGGAGGACAAGATATGACGGACATTCCTGCCGGGAGCAGGGAGCAAGGGATGCCCCGCATGCTCGGACAGAGGATATTCCCCCCTGCCGGCAGGCTACATCTGCAACGGACCCAAAATCCCCAAGGGAAACCCCTTGGAACGCCGGACGAAGCACGCATATTATGATGATGCGGTCCCGCTGGAATAAGGAACAGGACCCCCTGGGAAAGAATGATGAGTGCCTGAGGCTTGGTGCACGGCAACGGCAACCTCCTCCCCCCTCCCCCTCCCCCCAGGAGCAGCATTGGCTCGCTCCATGAGTCAGCATCCATCCCGACAAACCCCCTTGGCTGATGGAGGGGGGGGAGTGACCCGCATCCGCTGGGGAAGGGAACGAGATCCCCAACAGAAGGAATGCAAGAATGTTTAGGGAGGTGGGGAATGGAGGACTACAGATGAGCAGGAGGTCCCTGGGGTAGGGAAGGGTGGGGGGTGGGTGGATTGCCGGGAAGGTAGGAGGTGGAGGGAGTCGGGATCGGAGGCAGACTGTCGGGACCGCCGTGGCCGCCATAAGGCCGGACCAGG